CTTGTGTGGCAAAAGTGAATTCATTCTGCAAGTACAATTACAGTTGCTAATCCGTTGATTTTGAAATGAATCAAAAGGTAGATAACTTGTATGGGACTGACTTTAAAAGAGGGCTTAAGCATCTGTGATGTGAACTGATACACAAGAAGAGGACAGAAATTCTTTAGAACCTGAGGGCCTCACTCATTGCTATAGTTTTGATCTTCAGTGTTCTACAAAGGCCTATATATTTGGACCCATTTCCAAATTTAATCCACGTAAAGCAGCAGCAGCACAAACCTATGCACTGCTGTACACAGGATTACAGGTGTGTTCTAGGATTACAGGTGCTCACAGTGAAAACAAACTTATAGTATGTGTGCAACAGCAGGCTGTTTGTAATATTGAAAGCTCTAAAAGCCTTGCCATCACTGGTTTATGTGTTGAGGGCTTGATCTGCAGTTTGGCACCAGTGAAAGGTAGAGGAATCTTTAAGAGGTAGGGACTAGTGGGAGGTCTTAGGTCATTGGGGTATGCTCACACAGGAGACTGTGGGGTGCTAGTCTTACTGTTTCTTACTTTGATTCCTGAGTACCATGAGGCAAGCAACTTGTTAGGCCATTGGACCACAGACTCAGGCCTGCAAAACTGTGAGCCAAAGTGAATCTTTTTTCATATGAAATTGATTTAGCTCAGGTATTTTTTAATAGTAATGGAAAGCTGACCTATGTACTTCTATAAAAGGGAGTGAATTCTGCAGTAATCTGAAGGAAGCTGTATAGAAACAGATAATTCCCTACCTGAGCTTCTAAATGAGAACCATAGACTACGTACACTTTGACTACAGCCTTATGAAATCCTGAGCAGAGAACTGAGTTTGGCTGAGCCTAGACTCTTGGCCCTGAAAACTGTGTAATATTTTAAGCTATGAAATTTATGGAAATCTTTTTATACAGGAACAGAAAAGTAATAAACTCCAAAATATTTCATTCTGTAGGTTAAAAATCTAGTGTTATCATTATTTTGTTGCTCAAATTGTTTCAGCTTTGGCCACTAGAAGTCTTTTCCATTTGGTCTCTGTGTTCTGTGGACAAGCTTCCCCTGTCCCTCTTTTTTTGGGGAAGTACCACATACTCCTGGCTCATCTTGTATTTATCCTGCCCCAGCCCTTCAGGAACCCTTGGTTTCTTTTATTGGAGTGGTATTCTGCACCTAAGCTGTGGGTACTTGATTGTCTCATAGTTAATGGGGTGCTAGTGCTTTTAAGACCTCTTAGCAGACAGAAGTAGGAACTATATATATGAACACTAACCCACACAAATACATGTACTTCTATTTTGATATTTGTGTATATGTAGAAGCATAAGCATGAGCTTATGTAAATATCTGTACTTCTGTGCAAAACTAGAGTGCATTTCAGCATTCTTATTTGTAACTACTTCTTCAACTATGAGAAATCCAACTCTTATTATTTAAATTGATTTACTTATTTGATTCTATTATACATACAAAATGATTTTAGAGTTACTAAACTTTAAGATGAACTAAATGTATTTTGCATAATGAGATGGTCATGAGCCTTATATGGGCCAGTGGCAGAATATTATGGATTAGATCTAAAATGTCTCCTCCAGTGGTCTAATGTATTCAGAAGTGGACCTTTCAGGGGTGATTAGATCATGGAGGAACAGTACTCATCAGTGGATTAATCCAATAATGAGTTTATAGCTCTGTGTGCTATTAGGAGGTGAGGCCTGGCTGGGGGAAAGTGCGTTACTGGGGTGTGCCCTGCAAAGGTATATTTTTGTCCTGGTCCCTTTTCTTTCTTCTCTCTTTTCTCTCCTCTCTCTCCTTCCTGGCTGTTGTGGGTTGCACAGCTTCTCTCCACTATGTCCTGCCACTACAGTTTCTGCCTTAGAGCCAGCTAATAGAATGAACACGGAGAAGAGCATGGTGTTCTCTTGTGTGCCTCCCAAAATGCATATTCTTATTTCAGTGATGAAAATATATCAGTCTAAACCAGATTGGGAAACATTCTACAAAATGATTGATCTTCAAGAGTGTCAAGATCATAATGTGTAAGAAAAATTGGAGGGACTTTTATAGACAAGAAGAAATAACTATGTACAGGTGAAATGATCTCAGAAAAAGGACCATTACTGGAAAATTGGCAAAATTCAAGTAAGATCTGTATGTAAACTTTTTTTCTAGACAATTATGTCATTGTTATACATGATGTTTCATTTAGGGCCATTGGCTACAGATAAGGTATCCTTGGTTTTGTAGCTTTTTTTGAAGTCTAAAAGTAATTCAAATGGAAAGATTTTTTTTTTTTTAAATAATAGTATAGACTTAGGCTATCCTTTTAACTCAACAACAGTAGAAATTGAGGTAACTTATTGATGCTTCATTTTAGTTTGTTGTGCCAGATTATTGCACAGTAATGTGTTCACAATCATTAAAGAATAAACATAGGTGTAAAATGGTGAGATTTATTCTAACTGAAAGTATTATTTTTCTTATTTGTATTTTTTTAGTTGTGTTTACATCATTACTGATATAGACAAAAGAAAAACAGGACTTTTTAAAAACCTGACTCTAATGACCCCCATAAAATCGATTTGGTGACTTTACTGCCATATTCTCTTAACATAATCACCAAAATGTTACTTAGAAGGTTTGACCTACACCAACATGTATAAAAGTACATAGTTTTGAAGGTATTCACTTAATTCAGTTGACTCAAATGCCTCTAAATTTTCTCCTCTATGTGGAGCATGGACAAACTACATATCTGTCCTTAACATTAAAAGGCTCCTGTTTCTTTAACAGGATGAATTTAATACATGGATTTCTCATTGCTTTGATAAGGCTTTGCACCTAGAATTACACTAAACAACCTGTAATGGTGCTTGGCTGTGGCAGTATTTCATGGATCGTGGGATAGGTTTCTTACAGCCTTTTTTATACTTGCTTGAAATATTATGTAGAAGAGCAGTGCCTCAGGCATGCACAGTATAAGCTGAAATGCCCCATGTTAACACAGACTTGTATTTGTTTTTATAGTCATGAGTCTGTGAATCCATCCTGTCATGCAGTAGTGATCATTATAATGTAGGCACTTACTGTCTTACAGCAGCTGATTCCCCAGTGACACTTTCAGAAGTCAGTGTTTGGTTGCGGAGTACATTGAATTTCTGAATGGATTGTAGATTGGGGCCATTAGATATTTTCATAGGAAGCAAGTGACCCCACAGTGGACAAACAGCCACTTTTGTAGCTCTGTAGACAAATTGATGACCATTACTTATACTTAAAATTATTTTGTTCAAGAATGTTAAAAGTTTTTATTTTACATTTAGTTATTCGTCATTAATACTGGCTTACTATAAATGTCTTAGGCACAGAAAATTGAGGTTATAATGCTCATGTAGGAACTTGTAGTGGTTTCACAGTGCCTATTTCTTGGTGTTCATAAGTTCACATCTCTGGTTTTTGGTTTATCTGAGAACAAGATTGGCAGTGGAGCACTCAGAAACATAATCATAAGCTGTATGCCCTTCTCTAAAAGTAAGATATCCAAAGTCCCTAAAAACAATTTAAGGATTGTTTTATAGCAGTATTTTAATAGCTGTTTATGCCTATTGTCTAAACTAAAAATCACCCTCCTATCTCTGGCTGTAACAGATACAGCCATTATTAGTTGATCATGAGTAGCAGTCCCAAGAGAATCTAGAACTGAGACACTATGTTATAGCAACACAAGACAGTGGTTGTTTGGTGTGTGTTATTACCTCCACTGGTAAAACTGGTACTAATATTCAGGCTGCTCATTTCCTTCTCTACCGTGTAAGGGTTCTTTTTTAGCAATATACTTAACTATGAAAGAATAAATCCTATATAGCTTGAGCTAGCATGATCACATGAATACCATACCAAAGAACTGTGCATATATATCTGTCTATATCATAGATATCATACCAGAGAACTGTGCACATATATCTAGTATATCATAGATATATCTATATATATCTATCAATATCCTACATATAGATATGTACATGTTTATATTTCTCCTCTTTATTGTAGTAGAAGGAGAGGATAGAAGATAAAAAAGCATAGTCTTCATGCCATGAATTAATGCTAAATTCAACACTTTAATTCTATTATATTTTCGCTTTTAGAAATGCATTTGAACTTCTGAACTAGAAAGTAAGTTGAGATCATCAACTACCTATGATGATTTTTACATTTCAAAATCCTGTCTCTTGCCTTATACATCATCTTTTATCAATAAAATGTCTTTTTGTTCACATTCTGAAGTTATGATTTACTATAAGTCCATCGTGCTAAGTGAGGGATTAAAGGAGTGAAAGACGTGATTCCTGTCTCAAGAAATTTACATGATACGGAAATTTACATTTTACAAAAATAAACAAATATTAAATACTTGTAAGTGAAAGTTAAATAGATATTCTCACTTTATTAGCATTAAAAATAGGCAGAATAATATTTCCTTCTTTAGTAATAAAATATACTATTTATATAGTATACCCAATATGCTTTGTTTTCCATTGGAGGTTTTCTAAGTTTATATTGAGTCTGATTGACTGGGAAGGATTTTTTAAAATTTTGTACTGACATTACTATATTGATTGGGCATTACCAGTGAGTAGTTGTCAGCCATTCTACATATTTGCCCACCTCAAGGCTAGTTAAGAATCAGCAAGCTGAGTTTGCTTATTGGTCTTGGATTTTGATGAATGTATTGAAGTGTATATCAGGTTGATTCATCTGTGAGTTTGGGAACTCAGTAACAAGTTTCTCCAATGTTTTGGTAAGTAGATTTATCATATTTGCTCTTCAGTTGATAGATAAAAATAATTGAGATATTACACATTTTTTAGCCTTTTTCCTATGTGCGTCCATACCTTTGTGATAGTAAAATTATGTGTAATTGTGCATAGTTGCAGTAGTAATACAAAGGATTTTCCACCCCCACCTTCCTTCATGTTTTATAGGTAGTCAGATGCCCCCTCAGCCACCTGGAAACCAGTCAGAATCCAGTTCCCATCCTGCCTTGAGCCAGTCGCCAATGCCACAAGAAAGAGGTGAGTTTTCAGTTCACATCCTACCTGCCTGTCATGCTTTGAGTATGTAACGCTTATCTGATTCCTTGTAATTGCATCTTCTTATAAATGATTGCTTTAAAAGTTCCTGTGTTTCCTTTATCAGATAAGTAAGAACCTCCATGTAATAACATGGAGAGGGTAGATTCTTTCTTGTAGATTGGGTGACATTTTCCCAAAGTGCAGTTCAAGGCCCAAAGAATATGTGTATAGCATAATGAAACATAGTCTATACATGATTATAATCTGATTTGATCTACATATGTACTAATAATTGTGTGCATTTCAATTTAGACATTGATAAATTTTTTAAATGTATGTGTGTATATGCATGTTTCTGCTATTTTGACCAGCCAGTTGTTCCATCATTTTTAATAGTAAAAGTATAAACTCACTGCAAGACCTTATGATTTAAAATTATAAGGTCTTGAACTGCAACAGACCTGAAAGATCACAGTATTGCTATTTCAGTTTGCAAATAAAGAAACTGAGGCCCATAGAGGTTGTCATGACTTCCTCTTTCCCAGAAGCTAGTTAGTGTCTGAGCCAAAAAAAGGACTTTGGATTTTCCTGAAACTTGACTAGATGTTTTCCCACACCAGTAGATTTGCTGTACTTCGTTCAGTGCTTGTGTCACCCCGTAGTGTATTTGTGCTGCTTTGGTGAGACCACAGGCATCCCCTATTCCCCTTTGTCCTATCTCCCCACTGCTGGTAAAGCTTTGTTGGTATTGTGGAGTTGGAGGTGGTGATTGTAACCCAAACTGGTGTAGACCAGGGCTTCTGCACCATGTGGTGTTGTAGCAGTCGTTATCCATGGTGTGTGGTTCAAGCCCTGTCCACCCTGTTCCACAAGAGATATCATTTTCCTCTGTGAAGATTTAGAGGCCAGAACATGCCAGCTTGGTGACTGATATTCAAATGGTTCTTGACCCCTGACATTTATGGTTATTTTTGTAAGAGTAAAAATGATATTTGCTGCTTATTTGAGGTTTAGATTATTTTACATTTTAAAATCTCAGTAATGTGTAAGTTAGAAAGCAATGCCAATGACAAGATGGCTTTATCTATGCATCATTTGTGTTGAAATGAATGTTTAATATGGTTAAAATGAATTTTTCATTTTCTAATATTTTATTTAACTTGTTAATTACAATTTAAGGTATAGTTAATACTTTCATTCCTTATCAAGATAGTACAATTTGTTTTAATCATGAAATAGTTAATGTTTTGCAAACTTTACAGTATATGCAGATCACACGCAGGGCATATTAAAGCCTGTTGCTGGCCTGCATGGATTCCAATGGGAAGGCTGAGTTGTGACATTTAAGCCCTGCGTTTCTGACAAGCTCCCAGGCACTGCTGATGCCCAGGGTTTGAGGAACATATTTTATAAAACACTGCCTTAATGCTGTTCTCTAACAGGCCTCAATGTTGTGTAAACATGAGTATTTGTTTATCTGAGCCTTCCCCTGTGACCTGCTATGTGTCACTCAGTAAGTTGCTCCTCAGCATCAGTTTCTCCTGTGGCTCCAGCCATCTGGAAGCCCTTATATGAATGCGTTGAGAGAGAGCTTACCAGCTTCACACTCAGGAGAACTGCATGGCTGTAGGCTGCCTTCTATGCATTGCTGGGTCAGGGAGGAGGAAAGAAAAGGAAACTCTTCTCCGCCTCCACCGAGTTGCTTGCTCAGGCCAAGCCCAGAACTGGGGATATTTGTCATTTCATTAGTCCCTAGTGTGGCTTTTTACCAGCACTCACACTGATGTAAGACTGCTGATGTCTATATACTTTAAAATAAGAAATAAAACCTTTTAAACTATCCCCAGCCTATATCAAATAGGTGAAATATGTGGAGATACATTGAAACAGATAAAACAGATCTTTATTCTGCTGCATTCTAGGTATTTCTTCACCTACTCTCACTGACCTGGTAGAATATGTAACTTCACACTTATATTTTGTTTCTCAAATTAGTTGCCAACTGTTGCCTTTTACTCAGAATTTGAGAATTTAAGTGAATTCTTAAGCAGAAGTCTCACACTAGCTGTCATCTGACTTTAAGAGCCCACAGTCCAGCCTGTGGTTAGCATGAAAAGAAAGTTAATGGTTAAAGACAATGTAGGGGGCTGGGGATTTAGCTCAGCGGCGAAAAGCACCTGCCTGGCAAGCGCAAGGTCATGAGTTCGGTTCCCGGTACCAGAGAAAAACCAAAAAAAAAAAAAAGACAATGTAAAGCCAGTATATTAAAATTCTGCACTGAGTTTTAAAATTTGTACTGCTTTCATACTTTTTCATACTCAATTTATGAGGGATTGTAAAAGCTTTTTAGATATAGAATTATTTCTGATTACTTTGGAGGGGAAATAATTTGCGCAAAGAAGATCATTTAGTTTATATGCCTCTGTTATCCAGTAAAGGGAGAAGACTCCTGGATATTCAAGAATTGTATGTTACATTACTGAAATATTTTCCCAAACTTTTCAAATGAAAATATTATACATATTTTCATTTGTACAATTAAGAAATCACACCATTGCCCTAACTTGACAGCATACTATACTTTAAATAAAGTATTTAATAATTTTTAAAAAAAAAAAAAGACTGCTGATATCACATGTGTCACAAAGTAAACAGCCCCTTGCCAGGAATCCCTGCAGTGTTAACCTTAAGAAAGTACTAAGAAGGCCAAAAAGAAACACCTTCCTGCCTCTAACAGCATCTTTCCAATCCTTATAGCTGATAAGTATTAAGATTTGAAAATACAGAGAAGCAGGTGTGAAGGTCAGAATCATAGGAAGTAAACCAAGTTAAGCTTTGGCTTAAACTAAGCACTTTTAAGGCAAAAACCTAGGCATTTACACTAATGTAACTTTATAGAAATTATCATGTTTGTTAATTGCTTCCTCTTATATAGGTTTTATTACATGTAGTGTGATTTAGGCAACATGACAGATATATAACAATCTGGATGGTTATTATGACCATTTTCTTAAAGAGGCAAATATTAATTTAATAGGCAGCTAAATCTGGATTTTTACAAATATTTCCCCTAAACCTCCACTGGAAGACTGTGCCTATAGTGTAGGTACATTGTCTTTTGTTCTTCCTGTTGGTTAATCAGCCTCCTAAGAAGCAAAACTTCATATTTTAAAATGATCTATGTTAAATCATGCATTGCTATACTTTAGTTAAATGCCCTCTGAAAGTGGGTAGCAAAGGTGAAAATAAAGTTTTATTTGTGAGAACTTAGGAAGAAATATCAGCTCCTAATAATATTTGATACAATATAAAAACACTTTATTTTACTATCATTTAGTGTGTACCAATCAGCATGCCTGGTAGTTGATAAATCAGGTGTAAATATAGTTTCTCTATTACTAAGAGCTAAAATAACCAAAATCAAACAGTTGCTTTTATATTTATTTTATTTTAACAAATAAAATGAAGACAGTAAGGTTCTATGGTATACTTATTTTCTTTAATGTATCAGAAGATACATTTTTTTCATGGCAAAGACAAGAAACACACAGACATAAGCCCACAGAACAAGAGATGTTGTTCCCACCTCAGTTTGGGGTTCCTGCCCAATATCCTCATGGGGTTCAGTAGTACTGATTTTGCCACCTTGGAGCCAGATCCCTCCAGGCTCCAGCAGCTGCATTCATGCTTTGTTGTCATTCCCTTCTGCTTGGTTCCTGTGTACCTACTCGGTAAGGACATATATTATAAATGACATACTCTGAGTCTCACAAACCTCATACTACCCTGGTATCTGAACTGCCTTGGCATCTGCAGCCGGTTTGGTGCCCATATACCCTGAATACGATGTAGCTCTCATTAAGTCCTGCTGTCCCCACCCCTCCCACCTCTAGTTTAGTAGCCTTTTTGCCTGGTAGTTCTACTATTGAGTCTCATCAAAGGACATCAGTTATTAATCCATTCTCCACATTGTACATAGATGAAAACAACTACAAGTTTCTACAGCTTTATATTTTTCATATATAAAAGGTGTTGAGTGAGTAAATATGGATATGGCATTAACGATTACAAGAAGGAGAAAGACACTTCACATGTTTATTGACCTGTTTATTTCTCTGTGTAGTACTGTCGGCCTCTACGTTTTCACCTGTTTTCCAATATAAAACTTGATTTGGTACTTTTCTGCTAGAACACTTTATTAATTGAATAAAGGAAATTAAATCAAATTATTTAGTCTTCATTACTGACATAAATTTAAAAGAGTCAAAACTTCAGTTTGGTATTCTACAGTAACACATTTGCCATTTTATTCTTATTATAAATTAAATCCCTCTATAGACCTCATATAATGTAGAAAATTGCTGTTAAGTCACCTTACTGAAAAATAAAGTAATATAAATTTGGCTGAGCATTGGAGGAATAACAATAACTGTAAAATACTAAAATAAATTTTAAAAGGAAATTATAATGAACAACTTTAGATTAGTTTTACTTCTTAATCTTTAACATATATTTCTTTAAATTCAAAATAGATCCACAGGAAATGACTTAATAATATGTTGCTCTGTTTTCCAATAAGGCTTAGAGGGAATACGGAGTATCCATCTGAGTAAATAAATAAGCATAATGATTATTAACATTAAAGTGATAACATTTTTAACCCCTATAACATATTAAGCTTAATGAAACTAGCAGATGCCCTTCTGGTTTATTGGATTAGTCATTAGTTGAAAATGCTGAAAGAAGGCTTATTTATTTGGACAGATGTAGAGAGGTCAGAATTAATTTTTTGAAAACCTTTTAATTGAATTCCCTTTTCATTTTCACAGTGGTGTCTAGTTAAATATTCATGTTAATGCTGGTGGCTTTCTAAAGGTCTGAACTAGATCTAGATTCTCAAAATCAGCACAAGTTTTTTAACCCTTTTCATCTAGCATACCAGCAGGGACTTCCAGAGCTAATTTGACAGTATTTGAATAATTAGAAGGTAGTAATGAGGA